CCCCCCCACCTCGACGACACGCGCCGCCCCGGGCCGGATCGCACGCGGAACACGGAACACGCGCGGGGCCTCACGGGCGCGACAAGGCACGCGCACGGGGATGCGAGCATCCCTCCGCCCTGCTCTCTATCTCTGTCTCGCTCTCCCGGCCCTCCCGGCTCTCCCGCCGCCGTCCCGCTACGCTCACGTTTATTCTGTCGCGTCTCGAGACGGGACGAAAATAAATATGGGGGTCTACCACCGACCTACCGACTTCACGCCCGCTTCCGCCCGCCCGCGTGGTGCGCCGAGCGGGTGCGCGTTCAGGTCAAGTAGTGCGGCCCTCCGCGCCGGCCGACCTGCCCCGCCGCCCCGCTCCGCCGCGCACACCTTACGGAGGGCCTCATGGCGAGCATTACGGCGAGCCTCATGGCGCCCCCCCCCCCCATGCGCCCTTGTGTCGAGCCCCATATCGAGCGTAATGTCGAGCCTCATGGTGAGCCTCATGGTGAGCCTCATGTTGAGCCTCATGTTGAGCCTCATGTTGAGCCTCATGGTGAACCCCATAGTGAGCCTCATGGCGCGCCTGATGTTGCCCCACGGCGCTTTACTGCCCGGCGCTACGTCACACGTGACAATGTCGGTGACGTGCATACGGCCAGGTGTGACGTGTGGCGCGTGTAGCCGCGCACACCTTACGGCGCGACTCATGGCGAGCCTCATGGCGAGCCACATGTCGCCCCGCTGCTCGGCGCTACGTCACTTGTGACAGTGTCGGTGACGTGCACGGCCAGGTGTGACGTGACGTGACGTGTGCCCGCCTGGCGGCCGCCTCGTGGTGGCCGGCGGCGTGGTGAGGTGCTGACATGAGGGCCGGGCCCGAGGTCGTCTGTTATCACCCAGTTATCAGAGCGCCGCCCTTCTCCCTTCCTTGTCCTACCTCCGCTTGCCGTTAGGGTTTCGCAGAAAATGCAGCAGCAGTAGCAGCAGCTCCTGTTTTGCGAGGCACGTCCTCCTGCTGCAACGGCCACCCGCCGGCCGGCCGCGCGCCGGCTGCGGGCTGTGGAGCTGCGTCCCCCGCTCGTCAATAAATAAGTAGAAGTGTTTGCAGTGGGGCCAAACAAGTCCCTTCGCTCCCCCTTTCCTTTTCACTGCGGCTGCTGCTGGCTGCCTTCTGAGCGCGATAGAGGAAGGGAGAGGAGAGGAGGAGAGGAGAGGGGGAGGTGGCTTGGGCGCCGGGCGGGAGCAAGAAACTCGCGGCAAACACCACACCAACAACACCACGCTGTCCTCCAGGCCGCCGCCTCTTTTTGCGCATATCTCCCGCACCACATGTGTCGCTCGTTGGTGGTAATGCCAGCCGTCGATGATTATTTGCTGAACCGATTTACCACGGAGCCTCTGGAGCAGCGCGGGGTTGCGTCCCGATCAGGAAAACAGGGCGGCTGGCTGGGCGATCGAGCGGGCGATCGAGCGGGCGATCGAGCTAGGGGTGCAGCGCCCAAGTATTCTCAAATAGGCTTCCGTTCACTAGAAATGACTTCAGAAGACAGTCCTCAAATGCGTCGGACCACCTTCTTTTGACGTAATTTAGTTAGACGTGCAACAATCTATTTGGGCATATCTGCGCTCCACGCCGCTCGCTCGTTCGGTCGCTCGATCGCCCCGCCCCCCTGTTTTTTTTTCCTTATCCAAACGCGCCCCAGGTGTGACGCGCGTGGTCGGTATATAAGTGGTGGGTGCATAACGACGGGGAAATCAGGGGGCCGTGTGGTTATTATTGGCGACTCCAGCGTCGATGTAAAGTGTCGGCTCTCCTTTTACATGACAAGCCTCTCCGTCGGTGGGGCGGGCGCGGCGGGGCGCCGTGTGCGTTGGCGTACACGGCTTATCGATATGCGACTGTGGTGGACACAATGTTCGCGTCGCTCAGCTCGGCGATGGCCATCGATAGTGCCGCGGTAGATAAGTAGTGTTCAAACGGCCCGCGCGGCCCGGCGGCGGCGAGGGCAGGGGGGCAC